AGCATATTTTGTCATATCGACAGTTTATATCGACTACAATAAAATTCCTCAGACGGACACGGTACTTTATCTTCGACAGAAGGATGATATGGGGATCCGCGTATAAATTGAAACATAAGACACTTGATAAACGACTCAAAATACTCTACACTATTTTTTCTAAATCTTCAAAACTAAAACTGAGACATTAACTGAATACATATACAGACTTACTGAAACCAGACATAATCATCACAAATATACGGTATCGCTAAAAAAGACCTACCTACAAAAACTTCAAACATTCCAATCAAAACTATTGCGACTCATAACAAAAGTACCACGTGACTACGTGTGGTACGTGACTAACAAAACTATATGACCTCCACCTTTCAACAATTTTCCAACATATAACGACCCTTTACAAACAATTTTATACTAATTTAAGCGGTCATCACAACAAATTAATAAGAGATATAGCTACATCTGACATACCTCAGAACATGAAGAGGAGACTAAAAAAGGCATTGGATGAGAGATCTCCTTCCTTAAACAACCTGAGTAATAGAAACAAGTCAGGTAAGAGGTACGTTCCTTCTCCATGCCTGACATGTCATTTATATCTTGTATTCAGAGCACACCAGCTGATTGTTAACGGAAGCTTGACAGACGCAAATAATTTTTTTATAGCCAAAAAAAAAGAAAAACTATTTTTTGTCACCGCACCTCCCGTGAGAACAGCTTGGACCTCCATTTATCTTTCAGTTCCATCTTCTCCTCGTTTGCTTTTCTCCTTTTACTCTCTTCTATATCCATATCACTATTTCGTTTATGTTGTTACAATTACCACTCATTGTTTCTTATTTTCTTAATTTACATAATTTGAACTTTGCGATTGAATATGATACATATGGCTGCTCTAAAATGCGTTTGCTAATTCGTTATCATACCATATTTTGCGGAGTACATCGGTGGGAGAGCACTGATTTCTAGAGTTCATGATCTCAGTTTCGTGTCCGGCTGATGATTAATAATTTTTTATCAGTCGTGTATGGACCCTGGGGTCGAGACACACTTCTGAGATACGTCCAGGCTCTATTAGGTGGGTAATCATATATTAATTAAGGGTGAAAACCTATCGGTTGGTAGTGATCTCGGTCCAATCACCTCCTTGCACACCATGACCATTCATGGGTTGTAGTGGTACAGTTTTTTTTAAAACAATTTTTTTAAAATCTGTCATAATTTTCAATTGAGAGTTAAGATTAATAATCATAAATTAGTCACACAATTATTTGCAATATTCATAATAGAGAACATTAATTTGTACACAACATCAGAGTTTTGGTTCAATTACATTTAATCATGAATAGAATCCTTTTCATCCATTCTATGCTTTAGAATTATGACGAGAAGCTATGGGGACTAATACAATTTCCGATCGAAGAAATAGTTCCATTTATAGGAAAAGTTTTAAAATTCATGTAAAGTAATAAAGCTACTTAAATACCGCAGTAATCAATAATCCGATGATAATAAACGATAGGAGAATAAGCAAAGACTTTAACAGAGCTGCTACTTATCTTAAATATTTGAATGAAAACGATGATCCCATTGTCCCGTCGTTAACTGTAACCAGCCACTGGCCCTCCATGTTGAGGGGCACCTGCACTGACACTCTCGGAGTACACTATCTACAGCACACTACGCACACCCGGTCAAAAGCTTGAGCTATGTCCAGAAATGCACCCGAACAATATTGCTTGCTTTCCAGGGCTGCTGAAATATGATCGCGAACGGAATCCGAACTGATGTGAAGGATGATTTTCAATGATTATAAAGAGCAGGAATCGTTTCAGGAGGATCTTTTCAAAGTTTTTTGAGTTGACAACTAAAAAAAAAAAATGGTTGAAGATGGTTCATAAAATATAAACAAGAGATATAAAAAACTATTTCCTTTTAATGAAAATGAGCAATTTATAATGGTTGTGGAGGCTGGGTAGATCAACCTATCTAGTAGTAAGGTTAGTCCCACCACCACTTTTATCTCTGTCGCCCCTCCACTTCTGGAGATTAAATCTTTGATTTCTTTATTTTCGGAAATCCACCATACACGTCCATCAGTACTTCAATCAGTACCTTACACGATCAATCGGAACGTCAATAGTGCCTCGGAATGCAATTCCGAATGACCGTGTAGTGTCCGCTATATCATTGATGGGAATGAACTGTCCGATCCTCTCACTGAAGTTAATGTCTGATCAGCCCACAATCCCTCTCGTCGACAGATGGGTACAAAATTTGCATTTGGTCCTTGTATGATTGAACAAGTGTCGGAATTTATACACCTTATTGTGCAAGAATCAGACACAGGGAATAATGATCTCAGCGAATGGTTGTTATGATGAACTCCGCTCATACCTATCAAGCAGGATCCCCTCATCCACCCTGTTTTGACTTATGGTTCTGAGACCAAAATAATTGGACGTATGATTAGAAAACAATGGACTTAATAGTATGATTCAGCGAAAGAAATTTCTTATTATGATAACAGATACAAAAAATTTAATTTCGGCTGAAAGGAACTGAAAGGAATCCTTTTCGTTTGAATCTGAATTCAATAAAGGTGTGGGTTAGCACAGCAAAGCAAAGCGCGTGGGTCCCAGAATACTCGGTTCTGAACGTTGTAGGTTCGATTCCTACCTGGGTCTATTTATTTCTCTGGGGCCCGGAATATGAATCTTGACACTTCCACTATGGTAATTACGCGGTGGTAAACTCAAAGGGCCAGCAAAAACGAACAGATAATATTATAAAACTAGTAGGTTTCAAGTATTTAAGAAACTTCAGTTTTGTTTAAAATATATAATGCTATGAAATATTAAATCTAGTTCAATTAAATCAATAGAAATTTCGTTTATTGTAAAAACTTATCTGAGTCCGAATTCGTTAAAAAAAATTACCGTTATCTTTGAGAATTTATTTTATTTTTGCCCCATTTTCTTAAAAAGTTTATAAAATATTACACTTTATTAGACCCAATAATCTTTTTGGAGTGGCCAAGCAGACTAACGCTTGTGTATTAATATATAATAGATAAGTTAATAAATAAGCCTTTTAGTTGAAAACTCCTAATTCAAGCTTTTGAGTAAAATCATTTTACATATATTTCTAGTTGGAAAATCTATGATATCTGCAAAGACATTAATTCCAAAGTAGGTGATTGTAGTGTTGAAATATAGAACTGTGAACGAATGTTTAAAATTTCTGACTGGAAATAACACTAAAACTAATAATCAAAAATGTTAAAATTGGAGTTAGTCATTCCGTCAACTGAAAGGATCATATAAAGATTAGGAGTTTGAATGCTACTGATGGAGGAACTTTTAACTCTGGAATTAATCTCTTGTCCTCTTCTCTGGTCCGAAAAAAAAACTATAGCCTAAACGACAAGGAAGGGAAGACAAATAATAATAAAAAAAGTTAATATTCGTTAATTATAGTAATTACCATATTTTTTGTTTGTGCACATGAATCCACTATGAGCCAAATGCAAAAGCACATCAGAGTAATCCAAAAAAGGTAAGCGTGATGATAGGCCGTCAAATTATCTTGTCTCAAATAAGAATCTACGACCAAGTAAATGTTACACACAGAAAGTACGAAGCTAAAGACGACAAAAATAGACATTTGAAGAACATAACATTCCCACAATGAATTACAACAGCACCCGAGCATCTCGTGGGATTTGACTAACTTCTCTTTTTCCACCCAGGGGATGTTCAAGAGTTCCGAAAGTTTTCCATAATAGAATCTGAGAATAGAAAATCGGTTCACGAACTGCCATGTATCAAACCATATCAGAATTACCGAGAAATAAAAAGTATATACCGCAAACATTTGAAGCATAATATCTCCCTGGGCTTTTAACTCGTATAAAAATACCAAAAGTAAGACCAGCAAAAACAGGCAATGGAACCTCTTGTTGTCCCTTGAGATCGCCCGAATTCCTAACAATGCATTTATCGTATTAATGTCGTCAACAATTTTAGACAGTTTTCTTCTTTTTACAAGAAGACATAAAGATGAAATTGCTGGAATTGAAGTCGTGAGATGATCATTGTAATGCGCAATTGAAAAATATCCGTTCACATGTATTTTGATATGTTCCCTGTGGGACTGGTGTGCGAAGGCTGCCAATGTAAGGTGTGCCGTGAAAACAGCAGTTTTAAAAATTAAGTTTAGGAGACTAATTCTTGGATGATCAATGCCACCATATCTTCTATATATGTTTCTCAGCCATTTACGTTCCATAACCCACACTTTACACATCAATTTCGCCAGACTACGGAGTGTCCTTTTGGTAGAGTAAGTCTTATCTGAAGGACAATCAATAGTCCTTACAGGGGTGCCATTCGCAAGCTCGATGGCGCATGAGCCTCCCCTTCTCTTCTTAAAAACAATGCAAACGAAAGTAGAATTTAAAGAATCTTTGACCATATACAATTAAATTCGATACAATTATATACTAAATAATCTCAAATTAAAGTTTGTCTGTAAATACGTTTGATTAAATACTGAGTTGGATATTATACAGTAGATATTTCTTAATTGTGGTTCTTACCATATTTTTTGTTTCTGCGCATGAAAATACGATGAGCCAGATGAAAAAACAGCACATAGTCGGCCAAAATAAGTAAACGCAATGGTAGGTCGTGAAAACACCGCTTCTTGAGTAGGAATCTACGACCAAGTAAATGTAACACACAGAATATACAAAGCTGTAGAGGACGAAAATAGTCATTTGTAGAACATAACATTCCCACAGTGTTGCACAACAGTACCCAAGCACTTCATGGCATTTAACTAATTTCTCTTTCTCAACCCTCGGGATCATCAAGAGTTTCGAAAGTTGTCCGTAATAAAATCTGAGAACAGAAAAATGGTTGGTGAACTGCCACACTGTGAGCCATTTCAGAAACATCGAAACATAAAAAGTGTAAACCGATAGAATTTGAAGCATGAGATACCCCTCGGTCGTAAATTCGTATACAAATTCGAGAAGTAGAACAAACACATATGTATACGGAATGAGGTAATGCGACTTTTTACTTTTGACTGAAATCGCTCGGGTTCCTAATGATTCACTTACGGTATTAATATAGTGAGCAATTTTAGACATTTTTTTTCTTTTTACTAACAGACACAACGCCGAAATAGCTGGAAAGGAATTCGCTAAAACATCAATGTAATGCGCAAATGTGAAATACCCATTCACATATATTTTTATATTTTCCATGTGGGACTGACTTCCGAAAATGGCCAATGTTAAGTGTGTTGTGAAAATAACAGTTTTAAAAATTAACCACATGATCTCGGACCATGGAAGCTTAATTCCACGATATCTAAGGGTCAGATACGAATCACGTTTCATAACTATCCCTTACAAACTTCAATGAGGTACCTTGGTACCGTATTCCTCGTGTATGTCACATCTGAAGAACTACCTCAAGCCATATAACATCAATAGCAATTACTCAGTTTCTTCTCTGGTAATTGTTTATCGATAACCGAATAAACACATTATTATCAAAACACAATTTAACTAAGAGCCATAGTAGAAAGATACTACTAATAGAAAGTAAGCATTGAGGCGTTTTAATATAGAATAGGTTGGGAAATATAGATAGTTTTTATTTTTATATTTTTTGTTTGTGGCCTCTGTAGGGTTACTGGCAACACTTTCAAATTAAACTTTATTATAAACATTTCAGCGCTTTTACAAATCTCGATGTTTCTAACTGATCTTTAGCTGTCTTGTCAATTTTATATCATGCTCAATGTGGTGAGAGGAAAAGACAGGAATTAACATGAAGGAAAGCGTGGATTGTCACAAGGCCGGCAGACTGGATACAGTACAGAGAGCACAGAAAGGCATCCTGGTGGATAGGGAGTGGGAGGAACCGCCAGAAGATGACGGAGCCTGCAGAAGCGTCGATGGTTCGTGATGATGAAGAGACTGCTGAAGGAGCCCCGGGCAGAGGAGCAAGGAAGAAGACAAAGTGCAGTCCCATCAAAAGGCACGCAACCGCATCTGGGATGCACCGCATGTAACCTAACATCGTATCCCAAAAATAAAGTAACCTGAAAGAATGTAAAAATCAAAGAAATAAAGATGAGTAGATAAATTAAAAAGAGTTAATTGGTGCACAAATCCCATACATATTACCCTACTGTCACCGAACCCCGTACGCCAGAAATGGCCAGGTAGGGGAAAAAAATGTCTTGTAAATTTTCTTTTAGGCTTTGTACCATGTCCAAGTTTTCCTAACTGTTTCAAATACGAGTCAGTCTTGTATAATGTTTTTTACTGTCCTTTAGACATTACAGCTCTCGCAGGTCGGAGGGTAAAGTCCTCATAGTAGGTAGGCATGCAATTATTTTGTATGTTTTATCTGTTTATGAACTAGTTTTGATGTTTAAGTTATATGGAGATCGATATGGTTCATTTTCTAAGTAAATGTAGGTTAAGGTGGTGCAAGAGTTATAGTTCTTCGTAATAAGTAGTGTATATTTTAATTTAAAATTAAAGTAAACTAGTCATTTTACTTTCTCCCAGTATTCCGTTCTTGATTATTTATTTCTAGTTTTTATGTTAAGTTGAATGAGCTCTGGGGACCTTTAGTTGCTAAAATATATTTTCCACAAAACCATAGTAAGGCCAGTTATATATGGGTGTGTGACTTAGACCTTGACCAAAAACTCAGAACGCATACTCAACTCCTCGGAGAAAAAGGTGTTGAGAAGAATGTGGAGCAGATTTTCTGAGATTGGAATTAAGAGAAGAAGAAAGAATGAGGAGCTACGGGAACTTTATGGAGAACTTGATATTGTGGCATTGATAAAAAGAGCCAGGATAAGATGGTTAGGTCATGTGAAAAGAATGCCCGACCAAAGAAAACCATTGAGGATGCTGTATGAGAAGCCGAATGGCAAAAGAAGTAGAGAGAGCCCTCGGATTAGATGGCTGGAGGATGTGGAGGAGAACTGAGGCGGTTGGTCTTTTGAAGATGGAAATTGGTTAACTGTAGTGGAGGAGACCCGGGTTCTTGCAGGACCGTAGTACCATAGTAATAATTTATTTTAAGCGCGGAAATTCAGAAGTATCTACATCAATTTTCTCCAAAATTCAAGTTTCAGTTTTCATTATATTCATATATTGTGTTGTAATAAGACGAAGTTATTTTTTATTACATTCACTTACCAGAATATGTAATGAGGGAAGGTATGTTGTGTTCATGAAGTTTGAATGAGTTTTAACAAAAATACACAATTTGAAAATAATTAAATTTTATAATCTATAACCTGCTTTATTGTTTCAACTTTTTCCATGAAGCTACAAATTCAGAGAGCTTCATTATTGTTCTTATATGCAATCTCTTTGGACTTGACGTCAACCATTCCCGCTTTTGCTTTAAATGTTATTTTCTAATTGGAATTTTAATTAAACTCTGTGTTTTTAAACATGGATCTGTAAGAGGAATATTTTTCTAAAATTATCCGTCAACAGAAAGCTGAAAATGTTTCATTGTTCTTTGTCAATCTTAAGAGAAATATACAAATGATAAAAGGTTCAAATGTGCTTGATTTGTCCAATTCCCTCTCTCGAATTGTTTACCGGTGACAGTGTCATTGTAACCTACTGTTGCGGGTTATTGCTATATGTATTTACCAGCGAAAGTTAATTAACTTTGGTGTTAGTTGTAATTATATCTTATTTATCGGCTAATATGTAATTTTAATTATCTTTCCGTTTCATATTTGTTTACTAGAACTTTTTCTTTATAATTATCATTATTTCATGTTGCTTCTTATCTATCTGCAAGAGATAACTTAAAGCTTATTATTATAATGATTTATTTGTTTATTGATTTAACTTTTATTGTCAGTGCGTCTCAATACCGTTAATTATATTTTATTGTTTATGTTGTGAAGTTGAACAAGCACTTCATAATTTACTGTATATTATATTAAATGTTCAGTTACATTTTTATTCTTTATTATGATCATTTAAGTAGAAATTCTTACATAAAAACTTAAACATGAGTATGCATATCTATGAGGAACTGTTCAGATTGATTCAAATGCAAGATTTAGAAAATGTTAAACATATTCTATCAACGAGAAGAGACATTAATGTTATGAAAACGGATTACAAAGGACAAGGAACAACACTTCTTCACTATGCAACAACACCAGAAATTTGTAAAGAGTTGATAGCGCATGGAGCTTGTGTCAATGCTAGAGATGCTGGAGGGCGAACAGCTTTACACCATGCCATACTCTACCGTAGAGGTTTGGAAACTGTGAGAGAACTTTTGAGATGTGGTGCTTCTGTCAATGCCTGTGACAATTATAAGTGTACTCCGTTGATGGTTGCCTTGCAATTGTGGGGTAAAGATCTGCTGGAAATTGTGAGAGAGCTATTGCAATATGGAGCTGATCCTAATGTCCATGATTACCAAGGCAACTCGGTCCTTACCCTAGCCATTTATGAAAAAGATTTGGAATTGATCAAGGAACTACTGCAGTGGGGTGCTGACATCAATATTCAAAACAGGTCACCCATTCATTGTTTCCTTCTGTTCCCAACACCTCTGTCTGCAGCCATTAATGGTGATGAGGATTGTGCTAAAACTCTCATAAAAATGACTGTCATGAAAGATTTTGATAATAATTACAAGCAAATTTTAGATTTAAGTCGTTTCAGTGATATTAGCAGTTTTACTAAACTCAATTCTTATCTTGAAGAATGTGCCTGTGAAATTGTTCAAATGAAGTCTCATAGAATTAATAGTAAATATTCTTTGTTCGACTTTGTTAAAAAAAGTGGCAGAAGTTTCAAACCATTGTATTGGGATGAAGATACTGTTGGTAATATATCCTCTTCTTATCCTATTTACTATGATGTCATTTTTACAAATATTCAACCACATTTGTTAAGAGCCAGCCTTCTGAATAAATTAAAATGTCTGCGATTACATGTTAGTATAGATATCTCCACTGATGATTATTACAAAGGCAGGGAAATCTTTCTTGATGCCGATTGCTTGTTTAAGATAGCCGAGTTTCTTTCAAATTATGAACTGTCCAGGCTACTTAAAGCTTTTGATAATGATTAAAAATTGTTATGCATTTAATTGACTCACCTGCAGTTCACAACTAAGATCAAAGATTTGCTCTGCTAAAGATTTTTAACTATAAATATTTTGTTCTGTGTTCCTTTTGTAATGTCAACACTGTATTTTTGGGTGTATATAATTTTATACATTGCAATGTTTAATATAATTATTTTTCGACAGTGTAAAGTGCTAGATTTTCACTCAAATATGTTTAAATTTGAGATGTTGAAAGCTGTTATATGGTAAAAGAGAGCTGTGATTCACATAGTTTATTTTATTTTCTATTTGATGGATTTAATTTTAAGTGTTAGTCAAACATTGTACCTAATGAAAATAAATAAATCATATTTTTCTTACAATGTGGATTTTTATTAAGAAATTATTATTAAATATTTATTTTCCTTAGCAGAAGATCCTTATTAGAAAGGAGATTTCTTTAATAAGTATAGTACAAATTATTTTTAAATTTTGTGATAGAACAATTTATGTAGCTATTGTTTTCACCTTTACTGCCCTTATAAATTATTTAGCCAAATAAAGACCTGTTGATATGTAAGATAGATGAGACAGTGTACTGTATATTTACTTTTTTTGTTTTCACAGTGATTTTAAAACCCAAAAAAAAAGTAGCGTTAAGCATATCATAAGACTCCCTCATTTATCCTTTTGTTTTTATTTTACTACTTTCCAGTAATCAACAGATAGTAAAGATGTGTTATTAATCTTTTAGTTGTGTTTTTTTTTCTTTTTTAAGAAGTATGACTCGTTCTGTCCGCTCCATCGTCGACGTTTCGGGCCCTTATCCAATGAACAATTTATCAATGAGAAACAATAATGATTTAAACTAAAAAAACATTTTTTGAGGAAAATGTCTTTCCTTAATGTTTTAATTGTCATGTTTAGCATCTATTTTTGTAGGATGGGACTTTGTTCTAATTTTCTTATTTTGCTGTTTTGTTAATTTATTTATAGAATATGACAGAATAATTTTACTGTCGGGGTTAAAGAAATTGCATCACCTATTTTTTTTTATTCTTATGTCTATAACTCTTATTTCATTGAAAGTTTTTGTTTATTATTACTCATAAAGGTTACAAGAAAATGTTAACAATGTTTATCAGTTCAGTTTTAACCAATGTCCAGATAAAAGCTGTAACTATGACCTGTATCAAAAACTACCCTCGTCAAAAAATATTAAAATTGTGACATTACATAAAGTAAAGGAATTTTCACAGGAAATAGTAAGAGGTACCACCAATCAACTGTAGTCATAGTTTTGAGGTGGAAAAAAAACAAACAAACAATTTGGCCATTTAGGGTAAGGGCACCAGTGGTGGACATAGCTAAGGAAATTTTTATTTTCTACCTCCTTACTTATTTTAGTTTTGAACTTCTCCGTTGGATATTTATAAAATTAAGAATCTCATGTTCATATTCCATACTTTGAAATTTAAAAAAAATTCAGTTTTGTAACAGTAATCTCCATTTTAAAATAAGCATTTTTTGCACTAGTAATGAAGACATCCTCAAAATCCCGCTGTTCTAGTGATGGTCAGAGGGTCGTTACCAGTGATGGACATACCTCAAAAATCTTTATTAAACTATGAAAAACATTCATTAATTTACAATTTCACTCACCTATATATGAAATATACAATTAAAGGAAATATTGTGATTATGAAGAATTTTGATTAAAAATTTTTCAATAGAAAAGCATGTTTTATGGTCTAAGTCTGAATGAACAAGCCTCTCAAAGTGGTGTGTATGTGTGTCGGTGGGTGTGCGTTCATGTATGTGTATTCTTTATGGTCTTTATTACCAATTGTTGGCCTTGTCTTCATTGAAACAGTCACATGGAGAGAAAAAATGTAAGTAGTTTAATTTTGATTATAAGAAATAATGAACTAGGAACGAATTTGATAATTAGCATAA